CTGCATAGAAACAGTTCATTATCACAGGAACATTTTAGCACATGTGTACATATGTGATCCCATATATCTAAATTCCCTCTTTTGCTTTTCATGGAAGAAAATGGCTGCTGCCTAACCTTGAGTAATCATAGTAGATGGCAGCAGCGAAAAAACGGCACCCAGATCGGGCAAAGCTTCGGTAGAGTCCTACTCCTAATTGAGATCTAGTACTTCCTCCGTAAACTAATATAAGAGTGTTTAGATTACATTTTAATGATCTAAACGCTCTTATATTAGTTTACAGAGGGAGTACAAGATAGACAACCGTGTTCTTGATTCCTTTCATCATGCTATATATTGCTCCCTCACTTCAGTTCCTCCCTTGCCGAAAGGCGACGAGACTGATCAGGGTAGCAACTAATACTCCCTCCGATCCAAAAATAAGTGTCGTGAACTAAAACCATGATAATTATTTTGGATCAGAGGGAGTGCTAGATTCACTTGACAGCTTCCTCTTGCGTGTTGGTGGAGGATCGGAGAAATCGCAAGGCAGGATAAGCGGCTCAATGGTACTATATATAGTCACGAACAAGCTTTGCTGCGCATGTGAAAGCAGTAAATGTAATCGGACTCCTCCACAAAACCCCTGATCCTCCTCCTCCTGAGGTACATGTTAGCCAACACCAGGCAGAGGGCGCCTCCCGGCAGCAGGACAGGGTACTGTGGCTTCACGCCTCTCGCCTCGGCATCATCCATGAATCGGACCTGCCTCCGGAACTCTCTCCACGGACACGGGAAACCCTCCTGGTCCTTCCTCCACCGGCAGCGGTCTAGGTCCAGAGTCCACACCTCCACAACCGGCTCGTTGCGGCCATGATGGGACGAGTGGTGCCGGTCAAGGTAGACGAACTGGATGGAGCCTCCGATGCAGCTGATGGTCCGTGTCTTCTTCGCCGACTCTGTCTGGTCCTCCAACAGGTACCTGTAGGGCAGGCTAATGAAGTCGAACTTCACGGCGGAGTCATCTCCAGTGGTGTGCAGGTCGTCGCCGTCGCAGCACACGAGGCCTTGATAGAGGTCGACCCAGAAGAGCTTCCCTTGGGATCCCATAGCTTAGCAAAATTTGCTACGAATTTAGCTTCGTTGCAGAGATCACTCCAATTTTCCTAGTTGCGACAAGTGGCGCACATGCAGCGCGCAACTTGTTGCAATCTGAAAGCTTTTCTTTTTTTCATAGATCCGTTTATTCAAAACGTTTTATCTTTCAAACCGTGCGTCCAAATCTCGAATCATTTTCACCGTTGAATTCCTCGCGTCGAGATCTTCAGAACTAGATTCAATGTTTATAGGTTTTAACGAACTTTTTTTCACGAAAAAAATCGAACGAAAAAACCGAATCGGAAGCACGGGTTTTTTTCCCTTTCTGAAAGAGGTACGCCCGTGCCCCTCACGAAATCACAACCATGTCTCTCGCGGAAGCAAAACCATGACTCTCGCAGAAGAAAAAAAACGTGTTTTTCCCGTTTCCGAGAAGGCACGGCCGTGACTCTCGTAAAAACACAACCGTGACTCTTGCGGAAGCAAAACCGTGACTCTCGCGAAAGGAAAAAAAACAAAAACGTGTTTTTTTCCTTTCCGAGAGGTACGGCCGTGACTCTCGCAAAAGAAAAACAAAACAAAAAACGTGTTTTTTCCTTTCCGAGAGGCACGGCCGTGACTCTTGTGAAAGCATAACCATGCTTCTCCCGGAAGCAAAACCGTGACTCTCGCGAAATAAAAAAAAAGAAAACACGTTTTTTCCATTTTCGAGAGGCACGGCCGTGACTCTCGCGAAAGTACGCCGTGCCTCTCGCAGAAGCAAAAGCGTAACTCTCGCAAAAGGAAAAAAACAAAAAACATGTTTTTTTTCGTTCTCGAGAGGCACGGCTATGCCTCTCGCGAAAGCAAAACCGTGACTCTCATGAAAGGAAAAAAACATATTTTTCCACGTAAAATATTTTTTCCAATTTTTTTTGATAGAAAAGCTAAGGAAGACAGATGAAAAACCAAAACGTCAAAAAAATCTGAAAAAACCATTTAAAAAGCAAAAAACGCGTGCGAAAAAATAAAAACAAAATCCGAAAGAAGCGGCCAGAGCACGACACGTGACGAATGGCTGAGAGCGCGCCAAGTGGCGTTGATCGTTGTGAGGCTCCCGAAGAAGCACTCGGATGCTCCCTAGTGCTCCCCTCGTCCCATCCAAAAAAAAGAGCTCCCCTAAAAAAAAGCTAGTGCTCTCCTTTTTTCTCAAAAAAAAAACGCTCATCTTTCTCTCATAAAAAAACTAGTGCTCCTTTTTATGCATGCTCTCCTCTTTGGTACCAAGGCCTTGTATAGTTGTACGGTTCTCTCTCCCCCCTAAAAAAAGAAAAACTTTGTACCAGCTATCTCTAGCTGCCTAAGAGCATCTCCAACAAGTTTTTGCGCGCCGGACCGACAAAGAGGTTTTCAAGATGCATGAAAACACGGCGTCCAATGCAGCGGCCGCACCCGCAACAGCCCGCGCGCACAATCCGGCTCCTTAAATTTGCAGCCCTGCAGCCCGCGCGCACAATCCGGCTCCTTAAATTTGCAGCCCTGCAGCCCGCGCGCATACCCGTGCGTTAAGTTTTTTGAGCATGCTCAACTTTACAGCGACTGCTGGAACGCTGTTTTTTGCGTCCGCGGACAAAAACGTTGTTTTAGTGCCTGAGGCAGTTTTGGGGAGCCTGTTGGAGATGCTCTAAAGGCGAGACACATGCATTGTCGGTTTGGCACTACCATGAGCCCTTTATCAGTGAACTTGTACTCCCTCCATTTTTTTCTCATAGTCTGAAGTCAAACTTCATCAAGATTCACAATATCAAATCAATATCGTTGGGTGCATAATGAAATTAACTTTTTATTACATATCTGTAAATGTTGATATTTTAATATAAATATGATCAAACTTCACAAAGTTTGACCTAAGACAAATCTTATGTAAACGGAGAGAGTACTTCCATAGCCACAAGCAGTTTCCCAGAGCGGACGCATGGCATACAGGGCGTTAGCCTGTGGCCATGCATACGTTAAAGTCTGAACATCTGTAACAGCCCATCTCAGGAAGGCGGTAACAACTCATCTTAAAACCGTGTAAAAATAAATCTCAACACATACTTGAGGTGATGTACAGCCTGCCCATCTGATAACATCAAACATACAAAAAAAACTTTATTAACTGCAAACCACAATTTCAATTTTGTACTAGTGCATGCGTTCAAGTCATCACGCAACTGACTCCTGCCGGAAATGGAGTAAGTACACAAGCCCATCCTCTCTTTTTTTATTTTAAAAAACAAATAGGAGTGCACGCCAGTTTCCTAGAAATGTGCTTCGACTGTTGGCTAGAATTCTCCAGTAATTTTTACTTGTGATTCCCACCTAATCATAACTTGCGTATGCCAATAACCTCAACGTCACCCGTTGTAAGCACCGACAACCGCCTTAATTAGCTTGGACTGGAAGTAAAAGCATGACGAAGCATCCCTGCACTAACCATAGTAGCCTCAGAGGACAATTTCCAGCTTGAGACAACGCGTGCTTCCATTTTAGTATTCAAATAGGTAACACGTATCCAGCATATTGTCCAAGCAAGTAGCATACCATCTACTCCCTTTGTTCCTAAATAATTGTCTTCCTAAAGATTTCAACAAGTGATTATATGCGGAGCAAAACGAGTGAACGTACACTCTAAAATATGTCTATGTACATCCGTATGTGATATTTCATTTGAAATATCTGAAAAGATAAATATTTAGGAACGGAGGGAGTACATCTTCTGCCGGGCACGCGGCGGATGTGAATTGTTTTCCTGCCAAGTTAGGCCTCCTTTGGTTTGGAGGAATTTGATAGGAATTCTAGAGGATAGGATTCTTATAGGATTTTTTTCTTTAGAGCCCTTTGGTTCATAGGAATGGATTCCTATTTCTACATAGGATTGGTCCCTATCCTCCATATTTTATAGGAAAATAAAAATGAGCCTAGACTTAATGGAAAAATTCCTTTGGTGTCAATCAAATGACATCTTGTTTCCTATTCCTACTCATAAGATTTGAGATACATGTCATCTCATTTCCTACAAGATTTCTATTTCTACGATAATCCTATCTTATGAACCAAAAAAGGCCTTAGGTTGTTTTTCAGGTCGGAGGAGACACTAGAAATATGCTGGAAAATTCCCTCCGAATCTGCGGCGACGACTTTGCGGGAAGGACGTGTGTGCTGACCTGACCATGTACTAAACGACATAGGCAGCGATAGCTGAAGGAGAGATGGGGGAAGCTCTTGTTGTGCTGCCACTTGTACAGCAGGGAGGAGGAGAGGAGGGCGTGGGCGTGGTGCCAACTGCCAATCCTCAAAGCTAATTGCCTGCAAGTTTCCGTTGAACAAAATGGCTGAGCTAAAAAAAAGTGCGCCTAAATGGCGATACATGACCCGTCGCTCTCTCGATCTGGCGATACGCGCGCACGAACCTTCCCCGCTCTTACACAGGCAACTCGCAATCTCGCCCCGCCACGCCACGCGGTGGACGAAACCTACAAATAATAGGCCCAGAGCCTCTCCTCCTCTTTCCTTCCGTAGTTCCACTCATCCTCGCCACACACACTACACAAGCCTCTTTCATTCTCCCCTCCCTCTGCAACCCTTTCTCGATCTCCTCCATCTCCTCAACAGCGCGCGCCGGCGACCCTCATCGCACGGCCACGGCAGACATAAGTACGTACGTCCATCTCCGCCGTGCAAGGTGCAAGTGCCGCTGTACTATATATCCCTGAGCTTTCTTCCTTCTTCTCCGACCTATTATTCTTATTCTTATCTAACACGATGTATATGTTGTTCCCTAGCTAGGCATACTCTCTCCATATATACCATGGCGCCTCCCGGCTATGATCTCATCCTGATCGTTGACTCTGACGGTGGGGTCTGGATTGTTTGCATTCAGGACGAGACCACGCAATAGCATGCAGCAGGTGCATGCACATCTCCGGCCCCTCACTTTGTTATACATCTTCACCCAAGCTAGAGTTCACGTACGTTGGTAGTACATATCGATGCGAGTAACCAGTTGTTTCCTTCCATATATTAATTGCCATTAATCGTTATCTTATGTTTTTCATCATCCACCGGATCGGATCATGTTGCTGCACAACTTACGTTTTCCTTGCTTTCTTACAAAGTTTATGAGCAAATATATATGGAGGCTAAATTATATATGCAGTGTGGCCTTTCTATTTAGTACTAGCATCTCCTATTAGAAGCTTCCTACCGGGTATAATTAATTAGCAGTCTGCGACCAGTTCTCTGTGAATGATTAGCAAGTCTCTTACTATTTTTTCCTGTCAATCGGTTGTTCCACACGTACACTAGGGGCGAACGGCAGCTGAGATTAAAGAAATGCAGCAAATATTATGTTTTTCCTCTCTTTTATGTGTGCTTTCTCTTCGGTTTGATGTCTCTTCCATATATGGCTTTCAGTAATTAATTACTGTTTGTTTCCTCTTGAAGGTAGTATGGAAAACTTTCTATGCGGCGCTGCTACATGTACGTTTGCATCCGACAACATATATGCTCTGGCAGCCTCATGCCGAGCGTGTATCGTCCTTGTCCTTCTCTTTGGTCGCCGTCGGTGCTGCCATGACCATACATCTCATTGATGACTGCATCACCTACACTCCTGTCGGCAATGAACCGAGGTTCATGACTCATGAGTAGAGTTCTGGTGATGGTGTGTAGTATCTTCGATATATCTTGCATGTTAAAACTGGTGGCAATAATTTGACTTGTAAAATATGAATGGGTTGCTTGTTTATCTGTACTCTGTTTGCGACATATGAACTGCTTGTGAAGCCATCAGTTTGTGAAGTCGTCTGTGCTCTGAGAGTGTGTATATGGAAAGAGTATGGCAACGATATATATATATCTTCCACATTCATTTCAGTTTTTCTAGCCAGACAGAACTACTACTAGTTGAATGTGAGATTTCGGTACATATTTCAGAATACGTAGCTGATGTTGAACTTGAAGATACAGTACTCTTTAATAAACAAAGAAGAAGAATTGGTTGTTCACACAAAATTTGCAAAATTATACTAGTACACACGGTGAAGTCGTACATGCAACTGCTGAAATCTGTATTTAAAGTACTGGTCGGTCGTTTGATACCACAACTGAACGCGTCCCACATAACAGCGACAGAGCGATGTGACAGAGAACAATGCAATGCATAGAGAAATGCATATGTGCGATTTTTTCCGCCTGGACAGGACAGGTACATGGGCATGCACATGACAGCTGATGGAGTGTCCAAGTGCACCGACCACTCAGAGTACCGTAAAGAAAATCTATCGTTCAGAGAGTACACACGTCACTACGTCAGGCATGGTGAAGCAAATCCTCGTCGACGGCCTCATCCCCTTGCCCGCACGCTCCCGGTGAGAAAGCATGTCACACCTTCGCGGAAGCTTCCTCGTGCTTTCAATGGTATTCATCACCGGCTCTACCTCGGAGCACTACAATGGCGTCCCGGGCGTTGGCAGCATGCTGAAGTTCGTACTTTTGTATTAACATCCCATCATGCATATACCCTTTCACGTCATGTAACAGTGAACATATAAAAAGGCTAGGTCAAAATGACTTTATTAACGTTGCCACGACATTTTCAACTCGTACTCCTACTAGACACGCCCAACTCAGCATGCAACTGACGCCGGCCGGCCGGTGTTGAGGTAGGTAAAACTGGACTCTTGGCTAAAAATAGGAGTGCCAGTTTCCTAGAAATGTGCATGGACTCTTGGCTAGAAATTTCCAGTTTACGTACGTGTGATTCCAACTGAACGTCACCCGTCGGAACGAACTCTGGATGCATCAATGTGAGACACTGGATGTGATATTCCTAGATGTTTCTCCTAACATATCCAAATACCCACATATAGCTCGAAGCATCCCAATCTGCATGCCTTGGACTGGAAGAACAAGCATGACGAATCGAAGCATCCCCTGACGGACCGCGGAGATTAATTTCCTGCTGTGAGAGACAACACGTTTCCATCTGTTTTGGAAAGGTAACACGTCTACATATTACTAGCTTCTTTTTTGACTTTGGAGCCAGTACATAAATCGGTCCTATTGAGTTTTCCCGGAAAATGATGGTTGCTTAATCTCAGACATCTGCCTTCTCCCGCACTTCTTTAGCCTTCGTAATCCAGATATCCAATTTGATCATTAGTATGCACTTTTTTGAATCGAGTCTAGCAACATGTTTGTAGATAGACAAGACATCAATCTTGGAAAATCTTCTTTTATATCCAGATGCATGAGCCTCTATCTTTGAGCACTCATCAAATGAGAAAATCTGAAAGAAATAACACTTCAGTACATTGCTAGAATGACAGCTTCCATCATACACATACTCAACACATATATAAAAATATTATGATTGACCTCATCAGGGGCTAAGACTTTATATGATGCTCCAGGGTAACAGATCATCTTCAAAGCTGTTGCAAACTGGATTAAAACCCAATCCTTGGTGTCAATTTCAGATGTAAGAATAAAATCCTTTAGAAGAAGTCGAAAGAACTTCAAATACTTCTTTTCACATGATTCAGTATCATGCAAGAGATAAGCGGTCTCCTTCATAGATTTATCAACCTGAAGGCCAAAAAAAATTCTTCATCGCTGAAACAAACATCAAGCCAAAAATTGTAGAAGACATTTCATCGATGATTAAAACAAATTGAGTTTCTCAAACGTTATTTCCCAGTACGGCATGTCTATCAAAAACTTCAGTCATTGGCAGTAAAGCATTATAGGTGCTGAAAAAGAAGTACTAGCAAGTGGCGACTTATTAAAGGTGGCTATAGTTGCTGAAAAAGAAGTACTAGCATTGACAAGGGAGAAATAAAGTAGATAGCATCCATGTGAGAACTAAGGAAGGACAAGCGATAAGCTCACCATCTCAAGCTTGATATCAAAGTCACGTTGATGTAAGAATAATTCTAAATCTTTGTCTGGCCCAAGGTTGTCAGAATCGCGATTCTATTGTACGATTCTACGACTTTACGATCCAAATTAACCCCTTCGATTCTACGACTTTAGTCTCTAGAATCTACGTTTCTACGATCCTGATAGTGAAGATTCTACGATTTGCGATCCTACCACCGGAGCTCCGATTCGATTCAGAATCACGATTCTGACAACCTTGGTCTGGCCCAAACTGTTTTTCAGGCAATAAAGGAGACATGGGATTGTTCAGACCCAAATTATCACCTCACAATCCGGAACATCAACATGTAGGCAGGTTACTCCCTAAAAAGGCAAATGGTGATCAATATTGTTCACCCAGACAGAAGCAACAAGAATCTTACAAAAGTTATACTAACCAGTTTTGTTTCAATTATTCTTTTATATTCAGCACTTCCTACAACTAATTTTCTACCTGAACCACACAGTTGACTGAGTCTCTTGACCAAGAGGCCATCAATGACCTCATTAGTAACGTCAATGGGGGTCGGCATCTTCTCCCGCTTTATAAATGCTACAAGACTCTGAAATAAACACATAAGGGATCTAAAAAGCATGTCAAATATAATGCATGTTCCTCAATCATGTAGAGGGCAGGGGTAATTTAGTAGCCCTGCATCAACCATAAAGTACAATGTTGCTAATTAAGTATTTTTTGTGGGAATAATTAAGTATTTATTTACAATGTTAGTATTTTGAAAACAATGTTGGAGATACGACACACAAACGAAACGGTGAAAAACGAAATCAATATAGAGGGGACACAAGGATTTAACGTGGGAAACCCCTCTAACACGAAGGGGAAAAACCACGGGCGCCAGCCAGCCAATCTTCACAATATCGGGAGAGGTTACAAATGTCGTGGATTTACAAGTGATCAACTTATCCCGTGCAACGGCTTACAAGAGGTATATATAACACTGGGGAGCTTCACCCCTCTGCTCCGCTCGTCAGAAGTTAATGATTATACTTATATATGATGTTGGATTACAACAAAACAAACAATAAATAGTGGCATACCATGACAAGCTCCTTCACCCGTAGCTAAGAAGATGCAACTAATTCATACAACATTTGTGCCTCGTAGTAGAAACTTAGATTTCAACCCGAATTAATTGATCTTTTAAGGATCTATCAGCAGACGTCTGGCCAATAAAGATAGACCACCTGGCAGTGGCACCATGGCACAAAAAATAGAACATGGTAGTGTGGAAGGACCCAACCCAGAAAAACATATAATCGACCAACTTGCTTTTTTTGAAGCTGATTAATAACAAATAACAACTAATGACTAAAGTATTAAAGAATATTCCACCCACTTCTTACAACACAAATTGATAATCAGGACTGGTGAAATATCACGATGAATTTTTAAAGCATTACTCCGTTCTAGTTTGCAACAAGAAGCATAAGGAAACATGACAAAAGTAGTAAGAAAGAAATAGGGAGGGTTACTAACAAGTTGTGGTAAGCATGCCCAGAAGTCCTGTGAAAAAAATAGAGAGGAATCAATTCGGTGATCTAGAAGATAACAAAGACATAACTTAGTAGCATGACCAGCGCAAAAACAAGTACCTTCATTGGAGCTTTGAGGTAATCTCCATCAAAACAAAAAATTGCGATGCCAGACGGTGTTTGATATAGCAACGTAGCCAATACAACATTAATCTTAACTGACTGCATGGTATTCTTCAGGCTGCGAATTATCACCTCAGAATCTGGAACCTCTACACACAAATAGGTTATTGCCTGAAAAGTAAAATGGTAATCAAGACTTCACACCCAGACAGAACCAACAAGAAAGCTTAGAAAATTATACTAACCAGTATTGTTTCAATTATTCTTTTATATTTAGCACTTCCGACAACCAATGTCTTCTCAGAACCAGACAACTTAGTGAGCCTCCTGAACAGACGATTGTCAATAGCCTCATTAACAAGGTCAATGGGGGTGGGCACCTTCTCATACTTCATGGATACTATCAAACTCTGAAAATATAAATAGAGGGTACCTGAAAAGTTTGTTAAATATAATGCAAGTATTAAATCATGAAAGAAGTCAAGGCAATCTAGTAGCCCTGCATTAGTCAAAAAGTATAGTGGTTTTTGAGCTTTTATATGTATAATTCCCTCAGCAGTACTCCCAAGATGCCCATTCTTGGTAGGAGTGCTACACGACGGCTCATTCACATCTAGCTAGAAAGTTTACCAACTTAGGTTTGAACAAGCGTTAATTGATTATTTTAAGGATCTATTAGCAGATGTCTGGCCATTTTAGATAGTGCACCATGGCACCAAAATAAAACATGGTAATAATGAGGAAAGACTCCAACCCAAAAACAAATATGGTTGATTGGCTTAATTCAATTTCGAATCAGTTCAGTAAAAATAACAACTAGCAAGAAATGAGTTAATTTTATATACCACACACTTGTTCCAACAAACATTAAAAAAGGTAAGGAAATATGACAATAGTAATGGTAGGGTTACTAACAAGTGGTGGCAAGCATGTCCAGAAGTCCTGCAGAAAAAATAGAGAGCAATCGATTAGATGATATTAAATTCCTCATTGACGAGGGAGATAAAACTAAGGAGCATCAGCAATGAAAAAACAAGTACCTTCACTGAATCATTGAGGTAGCTCCCATCAAAAGAGAAAAGAGTGATGCCAGTGGTTCCTTCGTATAGCAG